GGTAATACTTGTGACTCTTGAAGCAGAGTCCTCAGAGGTAACTATGACTGGCACGATATTCTTAGGCGGGACTGCGCGTAGGAAATCAAGCGCACGCAGGCCGTCCTGCGCCCAGCTTGGGGTGGCCTGGCGAAAGGGCGTCGTTTCTCAAAAATCTCCTGCTAAGCACTAGCGAAGGAGTGGGAGACGGCTGAAACGGCTGCCGCGCGGAGGTGGGGGCCTGGAGGGAAGCGGGCAGGGGATACCCTACCCTCCCCCACCCTGTAAGGGAGAGAAGAAAGGTTTTCACCCTCCCCGTTACTGAAACCATCCAACACGGTCCCCCAAGGTCGGCGAATTAACCTACTGAGTCCGCATGGCCCTAGACGCTCAGCCCAAAATTCTAAATACTATGGTAGCTTCCATTTACTGTGTCCCCCGTAAGACTCTACAAGTAGGGATCAGCCTTCAGACCCAGGATGGCAAACTGTTCCTGTGGCTCCCACGAGTCTGTCTCTCAGAAATCCACCAAGCTTTTTGGGCCTTATATTCTCGGGGTGACTTGGGGGGTTTCTCAAAATTAGGGGTCCATTTTTGGGGTCCCTATAACTACAACATAGAGTGTATAGGGAATGTTAAGAACGTATCGGGTTTAGGGGGGTTTGTACTCCACTAAACTAACGTGGAACCTTCTGAGTCTTCATTGGGTTTTTGCATGGTTTTATGCGAAGCAGGGTTCCGAGCTTAGGTAATCTAATGAACTTGTTGTAGCTTGGAGGGGTATCCACCTTGGCAGTTCTCTGCAATGGGGTGCGCGACTTGCAGGGGATATGCAGGGATAGTGAGGTGATCATTGTGCTTTCCGGCAACTAAGCAGCTTTGATATGGCGACAGCTGGACTGGTAAGATACGCAGAAAGAGTAGCTCCCATGGAATTTCAAGGTGAGATGCATTACCGGTTCTACGGACCAGAAAGAGTCACAGCCCACCGAAATTGATGCCACACAAATCAACCCATCTGAGTTTTCATGTTACCTGCAATCACGCAAGCCCGGGGAGAGAACAAAAATGGCAAACAATTGGGGATCTAGTTATATAAGTCCATCATAACACGGCTCCCTATATAGATTTCCACCATTTTGGGAACGGTAGTTTAGGCCAAGTCCCAATTCTCCAATTCTTTCCGCGTTGTGAAATGTGAGCCCCAGAGGGAGTAAGGCAGTGATTTCATGAGGGTCTGTGGGTTCCGACAGCAAAGATATTCAAGGCCCCCCGTCTTGCAGTGAATGCCCTTGCCTGAAACGCATGGGTGCATTAAAGGGTCATAAGTGCATTTACACGAAGCAGACGATAAAGCGGATCTTGGGCACCCTGTCCTGGAAGCCCGGACTTTATGCGCACATCCTGCCAACAACTTCTGTTGAAAACAGCTCTTACTGGACAAGAATACTTCGGCCGTAGTAATAGAGTCAGTCGGGGTTGCTACGCTGGGCATGCGCTGGACCTCATAGCATTCTCGTTCCCTAGCACGGTAGGCTTGGCAGAAATGTTTGACTGTGACTCCGAAAAGGGATGTGGATTGCGCTGGACTCAGCAAGGCAACGAGACATACACCCACATCATGCTCTTCTCTGAGTCGACACTCGCAGAGTCGGGATGCCAAGGGCAGTTCAGGGCTTAGGGTTCAGTTGTAGGTTCACAGCGGATTTTTGCATAGGTGTTGGTTCAGAGAACTATGCTTGTAAAGACGAATTGGATCACGTTCCGCTGGTACTCATCCCTCTTCAAAGTCCAGATGGCCATTTTCCAACAAATTGGAGGCCCTTCACATATACCAGCAAAGAGTAGAATCCCTTACGATGGGGATTCCATGGAAGGCCTATGGAGGGAAGGGGGCCTAGAGTGTTCTCAATATGGCTCCTCATCTTTCAAGAGGCCAGTTGTCAAGGACAAATTATAGCCCGCTGAGAAGTCTGCAAGGTGCTTTGGACAAATTGGTGGCTTGGGGCTTCAGCGACTCTATGAGAGCGTTACACAAGGACCTGTGTAGACATGGCAGCTGCAACTCTTAAGCCTGAGTCTTCCACACTGCTCTTCGCAATGCTCACCGTCTCCGTGGGCGGTCGAGGATATATCCGCACATCACGCACTAAAATGAAAGTCAGAATACCCCACAAACCGCTTCCTCCAGGCAAGAATGCGAGCTCTCGAGGCTTAGGAGGGTCTCGGTTCCTTAGTTGACTTTGAGAGCTCATGCGGAGGCCCGTATTTTACAAATGCTACCGAATACTTGCAGAGTTCACGAAGTCCCTTTTGCGCATGGTGCAAGGTTTGGGGAGCAAATGGGTTCTTCAACGGATTCAACTAGCATCTATTGGCCCTTGCATCCCTGCTCCCAATCAAAAACCGAATATAAACGGCCCTGGCTCTCTATCACTTAGCTACTTCTTTAACCTTAATTAGCTTAGTTTTCCCTGAACAATTTTTTGTAAGGGGAACCTTAGGGTAGTACGGGGGGGGTACCCATGAAATCTCCTAAACGGCACGCCCTCCCAGGCAGTCGACTCCAGCAGTACTTGTCATCGATGACGGCCTGGCTCACAGCTGATCCTGAAGGTTCAGGCTTCCTCACGCACTCTACGCAGTTAACCCAGGGTTTAGGGGGTACAAATTTCAGCAGGGACCCAGAAGTTTCGGACGTGCCCACCATGCAGACTTCAGTATTGAAGGGGCCTTCCTGCCTCCCGTGTTGGATTTGGGGGCTCTGCATTGTACACCTGGGCTGGCGGACCTCCTGTAACTCTTCCACGAAAAGAATAAGAAAACAGGAGAGGCCATACTGAGGGTAGGTATCGAACCCTGACAAATACTTTTCGGTTTTGGCCGTGGTCTTGGAGGGTCAGGGGGGGGCTTAGTATATACCTACAAGTAAATTCATGACCTTCAGTAACCCCTGTTATTCCCCTTATTAACCTACTTATTAAATCCCCACGAAGCCCCCACCGTTGAAGCCCAGGACGCAAAGTACTTCTTTTACTATTTGTATTATTCAAGTATGGTTATTGTTCTTTCATTGATACAGTATCATGATTATAAGTGCCGTTATTCATTATTCCAATCATTGTAATTACCTTTGTTGTTACCTGCAACGCAATGTATCACTAGCATTTTAGACCTTTGTGACCATGACAAGTCGCAGTGGTGTTTAGAGACATTACTGTTGCTGCTAAGGTGTATCCAGCATCACGGCCTTGCGGTTCGTAGACGAGGCAGGGATCTGTCGTTCACCCTTCCTGCGCAAATGCGTTGATTTCTTCAAGCTGAGAGCCGTCTGAGAGTCGGGCAAAGCCAGAGTGAATCGTGTTCTTTGGCCAACCAGGATCCAAGCTTTGAGAGATGGCGTGACATCAATGTCAATATGAGTCTAGAGACTACACGTGGCCCTGCAGGGTGATGTCGGGATGATATCTTGGGCCGTACAGGAAAATGTCTGCCAAGCGTGGTAGATACCCCAAGAAAGCCTGTAATCCCAATCACCCTACCTCTACCCCAGCAAAAAATGGCGCACGCCGACTTTCAGTTAAGCATTTAGGGATGAGGTGTCCTCGAAACGGTTGGGGCTGACTGTGTGCAGTTGATCCCAAGTTCCCTCATCTGTGGCTGCGCATGCTGCAGGACAAGGGCCAAGATCTTATTGGCGGCGAGGTTCATTTCCGAGGCGAAGGATACCTCACACGCGTGTCCTCCTACTCGGCAGCCTGGCGCAGCTCGAGTTTTTTGAAATTGCCCTCCTCACGTTCCATGTTGATTTCCATGTCTTTTTCTAGAAAAATACTGCGGACGATACCCCTAACTCTGTATAATTCCTAAGTTATTTGCTGTTTCTGAAAGGACCGGGTACTCTAGATGTCGATCCTAGGAGGTGGTCGGAGAAAGGCACCTAATGATAAGAAACTCCAATTTAGCCTGTCTTGGTTCATGTCATGGATCCTATCTTTATGTGCCCGTCCATATAATCCCAGATTCCATTTCATTGTCCATTTGATTCTCCATTTTTGGCGGTCTTTGTACTATTCCTACATAGCCCCTAAACGCTACATAATGTTCATGTACCTCAAGCTTTATATAATTCCAACAGAATCCTTAAAACCCCATATAATCCTACAGAATCCCTAAACCCTATATAGGCCTAGTCAGTGGAAATTCCTGGGCAAGCCTAGACAAGCCTCACTAGTCAAAGAGGGTTACACTCACTAATTGCCCTTCTAGCGTCCCCACTTTTTATGCAGCAGTCTTTGGCGAGAGCTTTATGCGCTTTGATTTGTATACGCAGGTAGGCACCAGAGCAGGCACAGCGCATTGCTTGAGATCTTGGACTCGAATCTTGAAAACCTTTCGTGATACAGAGATGATTGATTGACGCAAATGTAATATTGGTAATGGAATACTCAAAGTCCTAATCTTTAAACCTCAATCACTAAATGATATGCTGGTTTCCATTTGCGTTTCCATTCCCCCCCCTATATACCCCCGTAAATCCCAAGCCTGTCATTCCCAGGTCTACTTGGCTTTGGCACCCAGCGGAATTGGCCGGAGCCTCCTCGGCCAGGCTTGGACAGGGGAGAGAACTTGGGGACTTGAGCTTGCCTCTGGCAAGCAGGCCACAGTTGCTGAGGGGCACAGAATTTCTGCGGACCGCGTTCCAAAGACTCTTGCAGAAGCCTGTAGGCCCCAACCTCGGCCCTTGAGGCTTCAACTTTGAACTCCTAAACCACCAAATCCAAAGCCCCGGCAGCCGAAGCGTTTATGCCAACTCGATGACCGAAACTGATCTTGCCAGCTAACGTTGCAGGCGCTAATCGGCACCACAAGCCTGGTCATCCCCCAGGCTCCCGCAAGGGATTTCCTTAGTCTTGGGTTTTGGGCTTTGGGTGTATGCAGAAGACTGAATACTTTGGAGAATGCCGGAAAATTCATACCACAAATCCTGATTAAACAGTATCTAGGCCCCTGCGATAGGGTTCAGGTGCAGGGTTTAGGGCTCGGGGTCCAGGGTGATTTTTGTCTTTAGTGGTACAGCACGATCCCAGGGTATGTCCTCCCGTCATGCGTGCGGTTCCTCTCGTTACGCAGAGGTAGAAAGAAAGTTCCGGTTTCTCACAAGGGTTTTCCACTGGGGCTCCTATGGATTGCTGTTTGTTTCACGGGTTCAGCGTAACGTCTAGATTTTGCGGGTTAGAGGGCCGGGGCAGGAGAAGATTGGCGTCGTGGCCTTCTTAAGGATCGTGTCCTAAGGCAGCGCACGCAAGAACGAAAACCATCCATGTGATCCATTGGATGCATAACCTTGTCCTTCAACATCCTGCGCCATGGACCCTGCATGTTTCGCGATGGAGTTCCCTGGAGTCTCTACTTCGCATGCGAGATCTTGGTGCAGATTGGCATGGGAACCTGCGTTATCTAGTGGTCGTGAGCTTTGAGCCGCTCTTCCCTTACCTCCTAAGCTTCCATGAAGCATTTGAGCTATAACGTAGTGAGAGCATCCCATCCTCAAGCTCAAAAATCCAAAGTCGGAGCCTTACATACAGATCCTGATCTGCAAAGTGGCCGGTCCTCGAACTCCAAAAACGGAGTTGCAAACCCAAAGCACTAAAAACACAAAGGTCAATCTCTACAGCCTAAACTGCTTTTTGCAGGGCACCCTGCTGCAGCAAAACTTCACGGACTTGGTCATTTACATCGAGTTTGGTGCCCGGCACATGGGATTTAGGAGTTCCAGGTCACGCGTTTACACAAACATATCTTAGGTGGAAACATGAGCCCGAGATCTATTAGCTTGCTTCACAGGCATCACCTCAATCCTAAACACTCACATCCCCAACCTTCTACCAGTAGGAGTTCTAGCCAGAATCCTTCATCGCATGAGGTTCTAGAACCGTCTAGATGACAGGAAGACTACTTCACATAAGTCCTGCGTCCACTGATGTATTAGGTTTCTTGTGACCATGTACGTAGAGCTTGAGATTTAGAACTTGGGGTGTTGGGTTCGGAGCTCAGGATTTGGGATCCAGGGTTGCGGGCTTCAGCATATGAACATGTGAAACCATCGGGACTTAAGTCATATTCTCCCAGAGCTCCTTAGCTGTGGCAAGAACCGCAACCTTGCTTACTTCCAACCTCAGAAGAACAATGTCAGACCTCACCCCAAAGTCCTGCGAGATATCTGAAACACCCAAGCCGACAGGTCAAACCGGAGACCTGCAATCTCAAGTCGGCAAACTGGCAATCCATTGTAGCCAGTTTTCCTGGAACAAGAAGTCCTAAGATAGACTTCAGGACCGCCGTCGTTATTGTTGTCGCCGTCCTCATCGCAGCAGCAGCAGCAGCAGCAGGAGGATCAGTAGGAGGAGGAGAACGAGGAGGAGGAGGAGGGGGGGGAGGTGGAGTAGGAGTAGTAGTAGCTGTGCACTAGCTCTAGAATCACTATAAGCGGCAAAGCGCTTCATCCCTGCATGTGCCTGGGTTACCCCTGTTTGGTAAATCCGCATCTTTCGCAAGAAAGCCGACCATGTGATCCAATTCCCTGAGCAAATTGTAGTGACCTCACCTGACCTCAACACCAAATGGTGTTTGGGATGGTCCATTAACTCAGACAGGCTTTCTTGTCAGTTGAGAGTTATTTGAATTTGACCAGAAACCCTGGCAGCTACAGGTCCTCTCTGGTGCAGCAGCGGAGTCCAGCAATGAGCATCCCTCTGGTGGTTTCCGCCTCGGAGTAAGGTTTTGGTGGTTGGGGTGGAGGGATAAGGGCTTGGAGTATGCGCATTGAGGATTCCTTCTTGGGTGGAATCTGACATCCTCCAAGGAGTCGACCAACGTCTTCATGCCAAACAAGAACAGTTCAAGGTTTGTCAGAGGTCGGGACATGCTAGGATCGCAACCATGAGATCGAGATTTTGAGGGGCTTGACATGTAAGTGTTGGATACTGCCCCCACTCCGTAACAGTTGATAATATTTCGCACATAATCATATACAAGCTTTAATATATGCCGCAATTACAGAACTGTTTCTGAGTGGGGGGCAGTACCCAATGTAAGTTAAGCCTGTGGCATAGAATTGAGCCAGAGGCTTTAGGCCTGTGCCCTGAAGAATCCAGTGGAAGGTCAAACATGGCCTTAAAAAGACTACGCCACTCCTGGGCTTCCATGTTCTCCCAGCGCAGTCCTTCTCCTCAAGATTTTCCGTTTCTGATAGTATACCTAAGGAATTGTTAAAGGTCAGGTTTAGGGGGGTTACAGCTGTGTTTTTTGCATCATTGGGATGCCCTTTCAAGGAGCCCAGGAAGTCGTTCTTGCCGGGCATTTATACCTCGCATGGAGCGGATATCAGCTTAGGATCTTACATGCCCCATTTCGTAGGATCTTTCTTCTGAAGACAAAAGATAGCCCCGAACCATAATGCGGGGTTTCCGAAAATGGGGGAGTGGTACCCGGATATTCTGAGACCACCAGAGCATGATGAGAAACTTACTTATGCTTACGTGGCCCAAAAACAGAGCCAGACCAGTGCCTGAAGTCGTCAGCGAACCCTGGACCCTGAACTGCAGTTGGCCGTATCCTGTATCTTTCCAAGCCCATGATTCATAATCTTGTGCTGAATAAGGCACCGAGACTTTAGAATTTGGCGAGGGGCTGTAGAGAGCGCCCGTCTTCGAGAGAGAAGATTAAACACACAAGGACGAGTTCGATGCTACCTGCGATTCGCTGACTTCAGTCTGCGGTACAGGAGGTGGCACGGTGTCCGGAGCTGAGATTCACCAGGATCACAAACTGTGCTTGGATCCCTCTTTTGACCGAACATGGTTTAGGGTTTGGGGGTTTTGGGACTTAGTTAGCAAGTAGGCTAATAGGGGAGATGACTAGAGTTACTACATGGGTTATGTGGGTTCTGAACCTACTTACCAAGTCCACCTGATCCTCCAAGCATCGGTTTAAGGTTCAGGCATTTCATGTTGCCACAAGGGGTTCAGGGTTGGGTGTCTAGGATTTCGGTTTGGGGCTTAGCATTTCAGGTTGATGGGAGTTTAGCATTTAAGGTTGATGGCTACTTCTCCCCAGAGAGCCCAATACCCTTTAATCGCCCGCTCTAGATTTCCAGCTGGTGACAGAATGTGGAAAATGTAGTCATGTGCGGTAATCGTTTTGCAAAATTCCTGCTCTGTAGACCCTGACACGAAATCGCTTTGAAACCTGAGACCACAACAAAAACTTGTAAACGCATTCACACAACAGTCAGTGGAACCCATCAAGCTGGAATCAGAGTGACAGGTAGGCCATGACAGGAATTTCAGAGGTTCCATGATCCTCTTTCTGCGGTGCTTGTTTAGAGAAACCCTCACATGACTTGTATGCCTCGAAGCGTCCGTTGATTCTTCATGGAAAGCCTTGGCAATTAAATTTTCGGAGCTTTGACGACAAAACCTGCAAAAGTCTTTAGACTCTTGTGGAATCCCCTAAACCTGCAATGAAAGGATTACGGTGGGCTCATGCTCTCCTTTGCAGAGCGCGGCCCTCAGTGATCATTCACAGCCTTTTTAAAGATTGTTGGAGGCTGTTCCTTTGGGCATACAAGCTGAGAAGGGATCTGCTAGGTCTCTAGAAGCATTGCGAAGGGCTTTGTTGGGCTGCATTCGGTTGTGGCTTTATGATTACGGGGATCGATTGGAGCTCATCGGCATCTGTAACTCCAGGAACTCAGGAATTTCCACAAATTAGGGGAACCCTAAAATCGACCCAAGAATATTAGACTATGATCCTTACTACCCCCAAAATGGTACTCCTAATCTTGGGAAGCCCCCAAGTTTGGGGCGGATTTGGAACTTTGGCTTGAGTTGCTTTCGCAGGCATCGCTTTCAGAGTTTAAGTTTAAGGTTGAGGGACTGATTGTTTAGGGACTTAGGATTGTGGTACTTGGGCAGTTTGGGCTGTAGTGTAGCCTCAAAAGCCAGAATAAGGCCCTAGGTTGAGTGACGATGTTCAGATTCGAAGGCGCCAGCAGTGGATGCCTTGCAATGGTCTACAAAAAAGGAGGAATTATACTCTAGCCTGGCACCATTTTCTAGTATTGAGCAGCTTCCCGTATGAAACCCGAATGAACTTTCGCTATTTGGTTGTTCCAAAGTTGTTGTGACCACTTATGGCAGAAATGTTACAGGAATCCGAACATGTCAGATTCATGTTTCTGGGAGCTTGTTTACATGTTGTAAGAAGGCTGCCAAATATGAATTATGCTGCAATAGATCGCGCTTTCTTGATCTCCACCGGGACACCCTTTATCGCCGCACCGCGCTAGAACCTGGAAGCACTGCACCTTTCTCCACAAGCCCCGTTAAGGCTGCGATAATTGCGATTTGACCCCACAGCGCTGGGACCTCAACTCCTGGTTGTGAGCAAGATAAAAATTAGAAGTGTTTCCGATTCAGGGTTGAGTTTGGGTTGGCAGTAGGGCTGGGACCGGGAAAGCCTTGTACTGTAGACAGGGCAGGAATGTCAGTCCGAACGCTTGCTTGCAGCTACTTCTCGCAGGGGCTCTCTACATTTTCAGCCTATGCTTGAGGGCTTAGGGTGAGCGGTTCGGGATTTTTGCGGTTTGGGTTTCTGGACTTACTGTCTCTTGCTAGGGGTCTGCTTCGCCCCGCGAAGTTGGATCGAGGGCACGGGTAGATTCTTTCATTCTCCTCACCTAGAAGATGGCCACTGCATAGGCTGCGCAAGCTGCTTCAGAAGAATTACAAACTGCAGGTTCGCGTTCAGGTCCTGCGAATGTATGGCCTTCATGCAGAGTCCAGGAACAAGGCGATGGAGTGCAAACTCATCCTCGCAAAAACATAGCCCCTGATACTCCGCAAACCGAACACCAGCAAGTTCCGGACCTGATTTTTTGCAGAAAGCATTCGGAACAACTTGAGGCATCGCCACGCTCCTGGCAGTGACGCAGGATAACATGGTCCTCATCTCCACGGAGGTTCAGCTGAGGGATAGGTGTCGGTGACACGTGCTAATGGCTCAGAGAGATTTTCAGCTGAGAGATCAATGCTAAAAGCGGAGGGAATTGGGAGGATTCAAGGCTTGCGGCCTCAGAATTTCCATAGAGTCCCGTCATGTTCTCGGCCAGAGGGCAAGAACGCCGCCATCTGATAAAGGCATGATGCGTTCATGCTTTGACATCGGAATCATGTTGAGGACCTCATGAGCAGCGAGTTTGTACTTATAGTAAGACAGAAGAAGAGATGGTTCCTGCTTGTAGACGTACAGCAAAAGAAACCCTCAATCTTGGAAAAGTGGCGGCGGCGGCGGCTGCGATGGTGGTGCTGGTGGTGGTGCTGGTGGTGGTGGTGGTGGTGGTGGTGGTGGTGGTGGTGGTGGTGGTGGTTGTGACGATGACAGCAGGGGCACAAGGAAACCTGAAATTGCAAAGCCTGGAGGCCACAAAACATCACAAATCCTCTCTTGACTTGCGCAGACTGACTCGACCGTGTTCGCTTTCCAGCAGAAGATGACGGAGTCTGCAGCTCACTGCTCACACCTACCCGGGCCAGCAGCACTAACCTCACCCCATGTAGGTCCTTTTTCAAGAAGAGGCCCATTTCGAAGCCAGCGCTAGGAAGTTAATAAGAGATGATGTCAAGGCCTATATTGGAAATAGAGTCTATATCCTACCTTTCCGAGGCCCATGTTCAGGGTCGTACCTTCGTAAAGGGGCAGGTTAAGTTTTCTGGAGCCCAGGTTCAAGAAATAGACGAAGAATTCAGGGATGCTCTTGTCGTAATATTCAGATTTTGGTGCTCTTTCAACAGCATTTGGAACTACAGCGGGTACACTAGGTTGAGGCTGATTAGTGTTTCATGGCGGGGATCAGAGCCCGTGCGGCAAGCTTAGATGATGTTGTCCTGCAACATTTGCAGTGGAGTATCGCAAGGGCTTCGCAGATGTCTCAGTACTGAGGTGACTGCGAATATCTTGGTGGTTGGATTCATATCCCGCCCTGTAATTGCTTGCAACTGAGTCTCCACGGCGTAGAACTTACTTGTGCTTAAGGGAGAGTCGGGGAGTGGATCCTTATAATGATCCAGTTTTAATCCCCACAAAAAGCCCTATAATCGTCCCTATACTCACTTCCCGAAAATTCCAAATTTCAGCTTTCTCTTTCAGCTCGGGTTTGCCGTTTAAGGCTTAGTTTAAGGCTCAACTCTCCACCCTAAACATCTACAAGCGTACTTCCAAAGCCATCGCACAGTACAGCGGTAGCACAAGAAGGATACCCTAACCCTGTGTACATTCCTCACGCGCAGCCCCATAGCCCTGAACAGTCCCCTCAACTGGCCCTCAACCCTGTCTCCCACATGCCTGAGCTCGAAAAGTCTGAGTTCGTAGCTAAGGTTGATGTTCTTGGAATAGCGTACTCCTAGGATGGCTCATGGGGACATAGAAGCACGCTAGGAGAAATATCGGCGTCCCTCCATCGGGATGCTGTAGGGTGTAAAGCCTGAAATTTTACTAGTGCTACGCCCTCTTGAACCCTAAGCCCTGAACCCAAACCCTAAAACCCTGAACCCTAAAGCTTAAGCCCTAGAACCTAAGCCTAGACCGTTGTAGGGCTTAATCAAGCTTAGCCCGAATGCTGGGCTGATTGTCTACGCCCCTCGGGATATTTTGCGCCAAGGTGCGGCATCACGGATGCGCAGTACATCTTCTACAAGGCATTTGTTCCATGTAGCGTCAAAGCTGGTTATGCCGTCTGTGGATCCTTAAAGTCGCAGTTTCCTGAAGTAGCGTAGGGTCTCCCACATACCGCGGTCATTGTATGTCCCCTTTGCACCCAACTGCCCCCATATGACGTCCCAACACACGGAGACCTGTTCTTGGAACAGATCCCAAGGTGAGATTACAAAGCAGAGATCAACAGCTTCAAGCTGTCTAGCAACGAGTGGGTGAATTCGCTTTGAAAACTGAGCTCTTGACTTCATCCCCGTATAGGATTCTCTTAAAAAGTTGGTTCCCGCTGGATCGCACAATATAATGGCTACATGACTCTGTCATGTTGTTGCGTAGGAAAGCAGTGGAAAGAAATCAGCACATCAGAAACGCCAGCTTACTGGTCCGGTTATCGTAGTAGGCTGTGGTCTACAAGAGATCGATCTCTCAGAGCTCAAACAAGAGCCAAACAACAACAGCAATGCCACCAAATTCTCCAGTAGGCAGTAGGAGTTCTAGCAGCCAAACGGGCATTGGAGAGTTCCATGAGTTATTGCATGACAGAGTTTTGAGCACGGTAACGGCAGGAGAGCCCAGATGCTAATGCAAGATGATGCTGCAAACAGTCTGCCTGAGGGTTCAGTATTTTTTCAGCTTGATGCCAGAAATGGCGGAGCTATTGTTGGCTTCGGGCTTTATCATGGCTTCAGGGTAGAGATTTGAGGGTCGCGCGTTCCGTGCTCAGCGCTGTTTCTGGGGTAAGCATTTCTGTTTTGCTGCGAAGGAGTATACTTTTCCGGGGTTGCTGGCTTATGCATAGAAATGTGATGGCATCCAGCAGTCGGCGGAATGCAGTGCAACTGCGGTATCTGCGAAGAGACCGAATGCAATTCAGTGCAACTCTCATCTTGTCATCAGCATATGAGAAATAGCCCACATCAGAGCCTGCTTTCGTAGGCTCTGGGCGACACAGTCCCTGCAACAGCTCCGGCTCCCTCGCCGGTGACGTTGACATGCCGTGCACACGCCAAGTTTGGAGAGTTGCTAAGGATGGGAACCCGCGACAGGTGCGTAGCTCTACTCCATGCGACGCATTCTGAGAAGACGTCTAGATAGAGGGGTGATGGGAATACTATGGGACGGACATGGGAACACCCTTGAAACTTCAGACCTGCAATGGGCTTCAAAAGCCAAGGTCGAGAGGTTTTTGGAGTGAGGTCAGGGCGCAGGTTTGGACGGCAGGCTCTGAGGATTGGTGGGCATTTCAGGTTGTTAGAGATCAGGGGTTGTGTTCGCGGCTTGGGTGTGTAGGAATTGGGATGGGGGGATTTTGGAGTTCTTGGCCTGGGTGTACATCCTAGGTAGTAGGGTTGGAGGGTTCTGATGGACCAAGCAACTTGGAGGAAGAGTGTAGGCTCAAGCGATTCCCTTTTGAGAGAAGGTACCATAAGGCAGGTTTGCCCTCAAGGCGTAGAGTTGCTGCTGACCCCAATAAGTAAGAGGATCATCAATAGATGGAAGCACAAGAACGGAAAACACCATACCATGCTGGCAAATGTGTTCGCTCAACTCAAAGGTTCCCACGGTTTAAGGTTTAGAGTGCTGCAAGCTTGACAGCACCTTCAAGCCCCGAAGCCAACACCCCTCAGGCTACGGCTTCGACCCTGAACCCTGGAACACTAAGACCAGTCTGCCCTCCTCTAAAGCCTGAAGCTTATAGATCCTGATTCCCAGCTCCAAAACCCTAAAGTGTAGAGCCCCACGAGTCTGATAGCGCACAATCTCAAACCTTCCATTGTGCCAGACATCAGTGGAAGCCGGGCCC